GCGTTAGAGCCACCAGCAGCAAATCTGCCCTCAGCTGAGGGCAAGGGGTATGCAAAGTGACTGGAAGTTTATGCACAAATTCCAGGGGGTGCTGAAGATGGAGGAGGGGATGGAGGGGGCGCTGAGAAAAGGATCCCAAGGAGAGAGAGGAGGTGGTGTAGAATGAAATATTTCATTCTCCTTCAGCCATGGACCCATAGCACATTCAGCTCCCATGAGTAAACAGCTAAGTCCTCGGGGAGGACACTACAGAAGGTGAATGGGAAATGTCACTCACTGTCTGACAGGAATTGCCTGAAAGTGATGAAGCTATGTCTCAGGAGACAGGCCTTGCTACCACCTTGAGATCTTGCGGGAGGGAACATCTCTATTGCAGTGGGAAAGGTACACACTCAGAGCATGAATTTGTGTGCCCTATTGGAGTTCACAGACCCAAGTGCTGGTCTCTGGTGGCCATACCTCTGGGCGTGCATATTGCATGGTAAGGTGTATTAAGGATGTGTTTGGGTGTGTGGACAGGACAGAGCACTTAAATATTTATGTACACAGGCCAAGGAGATGTAGGGTAGTTGACTCTTTACATGGGTCTCTTCCTTTTACTCTTGGTTCAAGGAATTATTTCTTTCATTCAGCCTATCCCCAATGCCCACACTTTCCAACTCCCCAGAAGCATGTGTTCTTTTTTGAGATCTGGGGATGGCGAAGGCGCACAGAACCGATAACTCCAGGCCTGGTATCCAGTCCCTGCTCTGTCAGGAGTTGTAACATCTTGCTACTGAATGCATCATTTCTGGACCTGAGCTTTATTGTCATCATCTGTAAAATGGTCAGGCCTGTTCTTAAAACTTAGGATTTCAAATCTCTTGCCTCTGGTTCTTATCTCCCTCTAACTCCCAGTAGTCCTTGCCTTGTTCATTTCTTTCCATTGCTAGGCCTTGGGGTGGTGGTGGGGAAGTAAAGAGGACTCAAGGCTAGCCTCTGAGGAGCACCCAGCACCTCTCAAGGTGGTCCTCCTTCCTCCTTCACTCCAGGCAGCTTCTGAGGCAGCTCAAGGGACTTTGAGAGTACTGAGGCCCAGTAGGCACAGCATGGCTCTAGGTAGAGATCCAACCTTCATTTTCCTGTTTTCCAGAGTATGCCAGGTCCTGAGGCCCAGGTCCATGGAGTTCCTGCTCTGCTAGTATGAGCAGGCCACCTTGGGAGGCTGGTACATGAGGCACAGGGAGGGCGGCATACAGCGCTTCATAGCACTTTAGCTACATGTTAGAACACCCAGGGGAGCTTTCAAAAAATACTTTTACCCAAGCCTCTCCATAAACCAATTATCTAATTATCTGTGGTAGTGAGGCCTGGGTAGGGGTGGTTTTTCAAAGCTCGAGAAGAGATTCTGTAGAGAATAGCTGGGGGGCTCCTTTCTCTGGCAGGAAGTGCCGGGAGGCCTGAGCAGCCCTGGCCCTGTGTTAGGGGGAGCATACGGCCAATGTCAGCTCTCTATTATGAACTACCTGTGTCTCTGAAGGTGCTACTTGTGTCTGAGTGGCGCCAGGGCTGGGCTGGTCTGGACTAGGCTAGCCCTGGTCCTAGAGTCATGGAAGGGACTGCTGATCAGGAGAGATGAATGCTGGGTAGGGTGGCCTGGCATCCATCTCTCTCAGTCCTTCATCTCAGAAAATTGAATTAAAACCCATATTTTTCAGCTTCTGCCTGCTTGCCTGGCTGGCTGACTCATGGAAGGGGATGATGTGGTGAGTACCTCGGGGTAGTTGTGGAGACCCCTAACCCTCCTACTAGAGGAGGGAAGGCAGCTCAGGGGAACTCTGGGAGACCACTGCCAGGGGTGGTCCCTTGGCACACATACTTTCCAGAGCTTGGCAGCTAGCATACAAGATCAAGGTTAGGACTTGAGCTGAAGTTGACTTTTTGCTCAAGATTCTGGTGCTATCCTTAAAGATGCTCAGTTTGGGGGAACAGAATTGTGGTAGCTCCTGTTCATGGGAGCCAAGTTTGTTAGATCAGAGTCCAATGCCTGAGACAAGCAGAGTGTCACAGGACACAGAGCCCATCCTGGGCTTTTCCAGAATGATGAGGGTAGCTCACAAGGGAGAATGACAGCTGGGCACCAGAAGGTGGGGTATAGTGCCAGGTCTGGTAAGAAGGTCATCCTTACGTCCTGTTGCCCCTCTGGGCTCAGGCACTGTTTTCACAGAGAAGAACTGAGCCGAAGACCTCTCTGAATCCTGTTATTGCCATGTCTTCCCATACCTGTCCCATTCTGCTGCCACCAGATGGGTCTTGGGGGCAGGACCCAACTCTGCAAGGGCTGCTCAGTTACCCAGCACCATGGAGAGAATTCAGTCTGACCATGAACACTTCCAGGGTGAGCTGGCCTGCTGTAACTGACCAGATCTTCCTGATCTGTGCACTCCCTAGCTCCAATGCCCTTCCGTCCAGATCTGGAGGCTCCCAGCTGTGGTGCCCTCCCTTCCATGCCTCTGCTCACAGAGTATTTTCACAGGTGATACCTCATTTGATCTGCCCCATTTTGGGGTTAGAGGCAGGTTAGAGAAGTTGACCCCTAGCTTGGGAAGACAGACTAGAAAGAAGGGCACTGGCTTCTAGAGGGAAGTTGTGTTGACTGCTGACATCCACCTGGAATCTGGCTGTGCTGTCTCCTGAGGAGCCCCAGCCATTCTTGATAGAGAAGGTTTCTGTGCCCCATTTCTGGAACATTACCTGAAAGTTAACAGTGAGGTGAGGCAGCAGGCCCAGAGCTCACTGGGCTGCAAGGCCTGAGCCCTCCATTTACCCAGGTGTACCAGAGGTTGAGTAGGACCACCTCCCAACAACAGCAGTCATTTGTTATGCATCAGTGAAGGTGCTGCAAACCTACTACTGGTGCATATCCTAAGTGCTCTCCTCAGGACTCCAGAAGTAGGAACAGTCTCTAGTGGAGGGGAAGTAGGTGAGGCTCAGACTTGCCAAGCCACATACCCAAGCTCACAGAGCTGGCAGGGACAGTATGATTTATTCTAGGAGACCCGAGTCCTGTAAGCATCACCACTGTTTCTTGGTGTTCTCCAGGGGGGATCACATTGGAGAACATCCAGATAGGCACCTGCAAACTAACTCTTACAGACCTGGACTGTGGGCATATAAGTCAAGAAAGAGCGCCTGGGACTTGCCGAGGTGACAGGCTTGCCCAGGAGCCTCGGGACATGGTGAGGACGGGAGGGAAGACGCTTTCTCCTGTGGGTGTCATGGTTGGACAGGAAGGCGGTGAGCCCTGGGGAAGGCCCGACTCAGCCCGGAAGCTCTGCGACAGAACTGGCGAAGGGGGGCTGTCACCTCCACCTCCGCTCCCCGGGGTCTCTGCCGCAGCTCAGGCGCGGTGGTCCTCACGCTCCGGGTCTCTCCGCCCGGGGTCTAACCCCACCCCCGGGCGCTCATTGGCTAGCATCCCACCCGCAGCCTGCCAGGTCCGCCAGGGAGGCGGTGGTCTGTGGCCTCCCTCCCACCCGGGCCTGGCTGCGCTGCGGGGTGCGTCTCTTCTGCAGGACACAGCGAGCTGCGGGGTCGCGCGGCACCCGGCAGGCGAAGGCGGGCGGCGGGCGAAAGCGGGCTGCGGGCGCCGCACTCCAGGGCCCCGGCGGCGGCTGGCGGCT